AGGCAGGTAGGCCCAGTCAGGCCCCAGGCAGGCGTCATGATTTCAGGGTGACGTTGCTCGGGCGGCCGGTGACCCGCTGCTGGCTGGCGTGTTCGTGACGTCACTGGTAGTCTGCGTGATCTACCTCTGTAGCGGCACCGTAGTTGCAACGGGGTGAATTCTCGCGACACCAATTTTGGTTGTGGTGGTTAACTCCATGAGGATCGCCATGGTTGTCAGGACTTACGGCTATGCGCTTAGTCAGACACTCCAGAAAGCCAGAGGCCGCTGCTATTCCTCTCATTGTGTCATTGCCCTTGACACTACCCTCCCCCCCCTAACATGATGGCTTTACTTGGAAGGGCGAACATGGCCGTCCAGGTAATGTCTTACCTACGGGGCATGGCTGACCAAGGTGTTGGCATTGGTTGAGAGAGGCAGCATTTGAATCAGAACGCCACCATTGCGGTTACATGTTGTACGGTGACGTCAGCTAGACCACAGCTCGCACTCTGACGCATGTGCCCGCCAAAGTCACCCCGGTGAGAATCGCTCGCGACACTTCTGATTAGTTAGCCGTGATTGGTTAGTGTAACTGTGTCAGCTGTAGCTGGTCAGTTGATATGTTGAGGATCACATTGGTTACCATGGTGGCATGGCCTGGGGCACCGCTCATCGTCATGATGGCATGACTTATGGTGTCATCTTGGTTACTATAGTGGCATGGCTCAGTAACACCAGTTTTACTGTTATGGTAATGTTGCAATATTTGGAGATCCCAATGAGAGGACACCGCTATGCGCTCAGTCGTATCAGTATGGTTGCCGTGATAGTATTTATCGCCTCCCCTCAACCAGACAAGCAATTAAACACCACTTTGTCTCCGTTTGTGAGAACAACAAAAATTGCATTTCAAAAAGCAGATGTTAGATCCTGCTCTTTGGTGTTGATCCATTCTGGTGATCAGTGTTGCTGTGTGGCTATGCCTACGGGATTCTTGCATGCTAGTGTACGTACACGTGCAGTTGGTGTTTATTCATCTTTCTGTATGCGCTTCGGGCTTAGCACGCGCCTTTTTTTCAAACTAGTATGCTTATTAGATGCATCGTTCGACTTTGTGCTTATTTCAGTCTCCGACACCATTGTATCGTAACGAACCTAGCCTTCCGAACGTTGTAACGAACTGAGGACCTGAAAAGGCACCTCGTTGATAGGCCTCGAGAAAATACAGCTTTACTTACAATTATCTTTGATATCCTCGGTGATTTCCATCGCTGACAGCCTCGTACGTCGCTGGCTTCGCTCATATCAGATTACAAAATGAAGACGATTCGTAACAACTTTATGACTGTTGTTCTCAAGGGCAAACTTAGCACAAGGTCTAGATTAGTGATGGATAGGATAGATAGATGGATAGATTAGATAGATAGGTCTAGATGGGTTCGAAGTCAGTGCCCCCGTGAAACGTTCCGCCTTGCATCTCTTCCCCGCTACGGTCGTTCTTCTGCCGCTTTCTTCGTCCTTACAGTGGACTCAAGCCGGCGGATTAAGTAGGAAGTCGATGTTTCGTGTCAGAGAGAAGTCACCGGTCGTGTCCCGTTTTACCGCTAGAGCCGCAGTTTGAGGCGTGGCACGCTCCGGCGCTTCCCACATTGACTTCCCATGATGAAACCCAGCAAAGCCAACAGCTTTATAAGCACCCGACCTCAGATTACACGCGAGGCGGCCTTTGAAGTCTTCACGCGAGGAGATGTATCGATGCGGTAGGCGCCGGAAATTCCAATTGCTTTTATTCACGATGGGTTGCCAGTCAAGCCTCGGGTTCACAAATTTCAAGGCGCAACTTTAAGGAAGGCATGTGGAGGGGGTATGGAAAAACGCGTGTGCAAAGACAAAGAGAAGGTAAGTAGGTTTTTCTTTTCGCCCGTCGCCTTGTTCGCGCCCAGGCATTGCTTTCGTCCGCTCGGCGTCACCACTCGCTTCGATCCGGGCTGTTTGCGCGGTCTGCCGGTCTGCCCGGTCTGCCCGGTCACCCGGTCTGCCCGGTTTTGCACAGTCTGCCCGGTAGCGGATCGAACGAAAACAGCGGCCGCCGGGAGCTGCATACCGGCCCGCCGCCGAGGTCGGCCGGTTCCCTGTGGCCGTGGCTCGCGCCAAGCATGACGGACAGCACAGACGATCACCTCGCCCGGTGGCCCTGTGAACGTACTCTCAGTGTGGCGTGCCACGCTGTGTGCCCAGACGTCAAGGGAGCATCCCATGCCGTGTGGCCCGGACGTCAGGGAAAATCCCATGCCGTGTGGCCCGGACGCCAGGGGAGCATCCTACGCCGTTTGGCCCGGACGTCAAGGGGGCATTCCACGCCTGTGTGGCCCGGACGTCAAAGGAGCATCCCACGCCGTGGGGCCCGGACGTCAAGGAAGCATCCACGCTGTGTCACCCTGAACTTGACCTGGCTACGCCACGGCTGGTCAGGCGGCCAGCCAGGTCAGATCTGGACAGAGCGTGATCGTGCGGCCTGTTTTGCAGAGCGTTGTTTGGAGTTAACTCTCTTAACAAGGTGTTTAGTGCATTTATAAAAGGTCAAAGCATCTTTATAGTGAATGCCTGCGTTTGAGCAGCTAGCTGGTAGCATTCCTCGCGAAGAAGGCTCCTTCAACGCAAACCTGCCGGTGTTAGAGGAAAGACAATCATTTTCGTGACTGGCTTGTTCCCATGCACCACCACCACGGGCCTCGTGTTCAAGTTCGCAATGTTGATAGACATAGCCGAACCCCAACTTCTGCTCGCGTCACCATCCCATGCACCTTGTACACGTCAGTATTCACGCACAACGCGTCCTCGCGTACCATCGCGTCCACACAGGTGACATAGCAGAGCTCATGTAGCGTACTTCGCAAGGCGATTATTAAACGACGCTCCTATACCGGATTAGTGACCGCGCGGTAGTGCGTACGGATTGATGACCGCGCGGTGGTGCGTGCGGATCGGTGACCGCGCGGTGGTGCGTATGGATCGGCGAGCGCGCGGTGGTGCGTATGGATCGGTGAGCGCGCGGTGGTGCGTACGGATCGGTGAGCGCGCGGTGGTGCGTACGGATCGGTGAGCGCGCGGTGGTGCGTACGCAGTGCGGGGCAGTGGCGGCGACGGCGGGCTCGGACGCCGCCGCACGTCGGTGCACGCGGCGCATGGAGGCTGGCGCGGGGCGGAGTCAGTGCGGTCGTGCCGGCCTGGCCGCTGGGCCGCCGTCATCGATCGCACAGCGCCGCCGGCCCTGCTGCACACTGACCTGGCCGGGCTCTCCCGGAACTGGCGCCAGTTCAACTCCCGGAATGGGGCCGGGATGGGCCGCCGCGGCCCCGCCGCTCGCTCACAGTGGGGTCGCTGGGCCACAGTGCGATCGGCTGGAGGTAGAGACAGTCAAGCTGGCTGGGCTGCAGTGAGGTTGGCTAACGCTACTGTGAGGTCAACTGGCGATACAGTGAGGTTGGCTGAAGCCACTGTGGGGTCAATTGGCGATACAGCGAGGTCGGCCGGAGATACAGTGAGGTTGGCTGAAGCCACTGTGGGGTCAGCTGATGATACAGTGAGGTCGGCCTGAGATACAGTGAGGTTGGCTGGGCCTGCTACTGATTGTCTCAGCTACAGCGAGGTCGGCTGGGTCACAGTGAGGATGAAGGGACTGCAGTGGGGTCGGCTGGGCCTTATCCTGGCCATGCGGCGTTAGGTAGAGTCCGCTGAAAAGGAGCTGCCTTGCTCTCCGATGTTTTAAGTGTGAGGCAGCACCGGACAACTGCTACCAGAAATCGTGTCGACCCGGACTAACTCTCAAAGCACAGCACGTGATCGGTGCGGAGCTGTGGTCCCAGCCGGTGATGCGTGTCTGTGAGCGAGATGGCCGACGCATCAGTCATGCCCGGTGGCCTGTGTTGCGAACATGATTGGGCTCAACCACGGGTATAACAAACTTCTCACCCAGGTTAGTCCAGCGACGGTCTGTTCTCTGGTTTTTCTTCGAAATAAATCCTGACAGTTGATGACCTGAAGCTCTACATTGATGACCTTTCTATCCTTAAAAAAATGATGCTGAAAAATGCGAAACTTGTTCTGCAAACTCTGATATCACCGCCTACTCAGAAGAAAGCTGTGGTCTAGCCATTTTATTTCCGGCACGGATACTATTAGTTTTGAAGTTTATGTCACGCATGCGCCCAGTCCAGAGCACGGTCACATGGCAGTCTTATCGTTTTCTGTGTGGATGAAATGGTCATTTCTAGTCATTACAGTTTCTCCCTCAAATCTGTGTTCATTGTGGCGCACTGGGCAGGAGCAGCACATGTGTTTTTAAAGCCTCGGGGTGAACTTTCCCGTTCACCAGGGATTTTTCTCTGCAGACATTCGGCACACCTACGTAATTTTCGCAGCACGTCTGGAAATTTTCGAACTGTAATGAGTCCTCTGAACTCCAACTACTTGATAAATGAAAGATCAAGTGTTTATAAACTTAAAGTCGGAGACCGCATAAAAGCTGGAGTGCAGGAGATGTTCATCTTGTTTCCTGCCGCACGATCCCATGCGGGCACTTAGGTCTTTGCACCCCTGCAATGGAGAACAATGACGTGATACTGTGTTACTATTTTGCGAAACATACCATCTGACCACAGTCAGACAGTCCAGATACGAAACTGTTATCGAAGATATACCTCTTAAGATTGTCAGGAGAATGTATGTCTAAAAATGGTCACTTGAACTATTTCGGGGGTGATTTTTTTCGCTCTTGAGTTTGTATTTCTGATTTGGATGTGTAAACCGCATGTTTGATGCTACATGCAAGCGATCCCCATCATTTACACACAATGCCACGGGGGTATTGTCGCTGAGATGATCACCTAACTTTCCGATCTCGCTTGGGTACCGCCGGTTGCGCGGTATTTCCAAAGCTCGATGCTTATTTAGCCGGCAGGATTGTCTCAGTGACAACATACATCGCTCGACTAATTTTTGCCGGCTTTGTGTTGCAGGGCTCTGCCGACTCGAACTATTCACATCCCTCGTCCGATCTCTCACTGGACGAGGACAGAGAGACCGTGCGGCGAGAGACAGAGCGGCAGGCACTGGCGCAGCTGGAGAAGGCACGGGTAAGTGTCGGCAACTGGCGCAGCTGGGGAAGGCACGGGTAATTGTCGGCCACTGGCGCAGCTGGGGAAGGCACGGGTAAGTGTCGGATACTGGCGCAGCTGGAGAAGGCACGGGCAAGTGTCGGCCACTGGCGCAGCTGGGTAAGGCACGGGCAAGTGTCGGCCACTGGCGCAGCTGGGTAAGGCACGGGTAAGTGTCGGATACTGGCGCAGCTGGGGAAGGCATGGGTAAGTGTCGGATACTGGCGCAGCTGGAGAAGGCACGGATAAGTGTCGGATAGTGGCGCAGTTGGAGAAGGCACGGGCAAGTGTCGGCCACTGGCGCAGCTGGGGAAGGCACGGGTAAGTGTCGGATACTGGCGCAGCTGGGGAAGGCACGGGTAAGTGTCGGATACTGGCGCAGTTGGAGAAGGCACGGGTAAGTGTCGGCCACTGGCACAGCTGGAGAAGGCACGGGTAAGTGTCGGCCACTGGCGCAGCTGGGGAAGGCACGGGTAAGTGTCGGATACTGGCGCAGCTGGGGAAGGCATGGGTAAGTGTCGGACACTGGCGCAGCTGGAGAAGGCACGGGTAAGTGTCGGACACTGGCGCAGTTGGGGAAGGCACGGGTAAGTGTCGGACTCTGGCGCAGTTGGGGAAGGCATGGGTAAGTGTCGGACACTGGCGCAGCTGGGGAAGGCACGAGTAAGTGTCGGGCACTAGCGCAGTTGGGAGAGCCATTTAAATGTCCGCCGGAAGTCGTTTACTGGCATCTACCTAGATTCTCCTTCTGTACTGACCAGATCAATGTTACGAGATACAAGACTTGCTCTTTCTATATCTATGATTCTTGCCTTGTCAATGTCTCTTCAAAAGACATAAAAGGATTGCGTTCAATTGTTTGGCATAACATGATAGTGGTATAATTAATAGTGATATTCTTTCCATGTAACTCTATTGAGATATGAAGTTTTTAAGCCAGCATAAAATGTGGCTAGGAGATGAACTCTGACCCTGAACCCGATGTAATCTGGAACTGCATATTGGCGTGAGGCCAGCATCAAGAGGAGCGCAAGTTCCACTTCAAAGTTGTCAACTGGCGGCTGTTATCATTATTGCACATAATGTCAAAAACTAATATGATAGAGCAAGGCGCTTCTGTCAACCGATGCCGACAGCTATCAATGTGTTGGCATGAAGCCGTTATGGAAATTGAATAGGACGGCTACGACTGTAGCAATCACACGCCAACGCGCACCTAGCAGTGCTTGAAAACTGTTTGGATATGGTTCGCATAACGCTTGGTAATTTTAAACGACGATTTCAATGATTTTGCAGTTGTTTATGATGTCGGCAGCTGTGATCAAAGTGTTGCGAAAGCACGAGTATTCTGGTGGACATTGGCGACAAAAAGCAAGGCTGTGCGTATGCATAGAACCAACCTCTCTCTGTCAAGGCCAAAGCGCCCCGTATTCGTGGCGGGTTTTGGAGAGAATGGCATTAGCTGTTTTCCGGTCGGTTGCTGGTACAGCTATTGGTCGGTCGATCATAAGACTCACAACTGATACATTTGCCTGTTCCTTTTTCCTAATTTATATGATGATATACGATAACGAACGGAACCAACAATTCTTTAGAATGGATAGAATCCTTAGTTAACAACGCAAATTAATTTTGATTTTGGTATTCGCCTGCGCTGGCTGCTAAGGTTAGTCATTAATCCCCCCAAAGCCATAAAACCGGGCGAATCCAGGGTTTGCGCAAATAGAGCCGCACTTTTGCTGGTTAGACTGTCCATTTTTTCCTTCATAGCATCAGTCTCACACAGGCGTGTGTCATATTACGCTAAGCCAGCTGTGGAATCGGCTTCGTCCCGTGGTGTGCAGCTCTTTTGTGGTTTGAAAGTTCTGTTTTTTCTCCAAGTTAATCAAATGTGATGGGAACATAAACCAGTGAGGATGTTATAAGGTTGCAGGAAAAGCCCACAAAATCAAACGGTCTGCATGCAAATGCCTAGCAACTTATGTCGCACAGTTTTGGAGAATGACGCTTCTTGTTGCTGAGTCCTGCGTCAAGCTGCAATCAATGGTTATAGTTATACTCGTTTATAAGTTCGGGTTGAGTCTCTGAGTTTCCATTAGTTTCTAAATTTACCAGTTCCCAGAAAGTGCAACGACCAGGTCGGTACGGGACGCTCAAGTTGGAAATTATGTTGTAATAATAAAGTTGTATCATTGCATATCATAGCATCATAGTCCAATAAAGTAAGACTGCTTCGCCCTGCGGTCTTGTTAATAACTGCATTAAAATGTACGTTTACATGGTTTTGAGTCGTATGAGACCAACGCGGGCCCAAGTCTGTGACGTGGAAGCATTTGCACGAAAAGCATGACAAATTGCCTCCCCTGTGGCGTCCGACACCTGACCGCGGTCTGCCGTCGCCAGACGAAGCCGGTGGCGTTCGCCGTGAGGACCAACATCGCTTACGATGGCAGCCTGGACGACGACTCTCCCGTGCACGGCTCGGCTATCTCGTTCGACATCAAGGACTTCCTACACATCAAGGTACGCCTCTGGCATGCCGTGCTGAGCCGATGCGACAAAAAGTGCAGGCTATGGCGGGTGTTACCACCAGCCACATAGCTGCTGTGTACGTACCAATGAATAGGTTGGGGTGCGAGATGTCAATTAGCAGTCGACAGCGATGCCCCAGGACATGTGGTCGTTGACTGCCACGCCACGCATGTTACCGTCTGCCGACACATGGCTTCAGTGAACATCCGCCGTAGACGGAGAGACTCGCTCGCACGAGGACGCCCTGTGGGGTGGGGTGTGGGCCCTGGGCGTATCCCGCTTCCCGGATATTGCAGTTGAGTGAACGATGTTGTTTCAAATCAGCAATCACCTGAAACATCACGTACAGAAGTTGGCTGCGTGCTAACGACTGCAGCGGGTCAAAAGGCAATGAAATGAGGCAGGTAACTGGTAGCAATTGCAAGACACTCGCGCAATCTGCAATGGCATTTTACGGTACATTTGCCGCTATCCAGCTCTTAGAAAAGCTTATCTCGCGAATCGGTATTTGCCGGAGCGTGATTTGTAAATGTAAACGTAAACAGCCCCTAGAAACAGCCGCCTTTTTGCTACCGGCCTCTCGCGGAAGTTCTGCCCTTGGTAACTTATACTGCCTCTCCGCCCTTTCCTAGTGGCACAACCGATGGACCATCAGGCCAGAGAAGCTGAGCATCAGAACGGCATTCTGACCAATACCCTCCAATCCCCTCGCCCTTCAGAAGGACTACGACGAAAGCCGACACAGATCGTACGGGTGTTACGGGAGTATGTCCATGCCACGCGCTGACCGCTGCCCCTCCCTCTCCGGAGAAGACCGGTAACAACGCCTCGCTGGATCGGGCAGACGGAGACGGAGTGGGCCTAACTGGTGCTAGACGTTGTGGTCAGTGTGACCGCCGCCTCTCCGTCCCGCCAGGAGAAGTACGACAACAACTGGTGGATCGGCCGGCTAGTCAAGGAAGGCGCCGAGGTGGGCTTCATCCCTTCGCCGGCCAAGCTGGAGACGCTGCGACTGCAGCAGGCGGGCAGCACCCGCAGCCAGGCGCGGCCTCCGCCGGCCGGCGCCGGCAACGACATGCTCTCCACCAGTGAGCTGACGCTGACCCCGCCGACCTGGCGCGTCCGGCCACGCCGGCCACTCACACGAACCTCACGTGCAGCTCAGGAACGGGCTGATGCAAGAGTTCGTCACTCGATACTGGCTCAGCCGACATCCGGCCTGAAAAGCGGTGAACGATTGAAGGCGACTTGTGAACGACAGATCGCATAGGAATAAGGGTGCTGTACCCTCTAAGCATGGGGATAAGGGTGCTGTACTCGTTAGGTATAGGGATAAGGATGATGTACTTGTTAAGCAAATGAGTTATATGGTTGGATTAACGAGGTGAGGTACATGTTTGAATGAACGGGGTGAGGTGTATGGATACATGAGCCGGGTGACAGCACGCTCCATACTGATCAGTCACTTGGTGCTGGCCAACTCTTCCCGTTTTTCTGTCACATAAGGTAATCACTCACGTTGACGCCAAACGGATTTGTAACAGAGCCACGAGCAAACCTCGAACCAGTGGGTCACAATCTGGTCGCAATCTGGTCACAATCTGGCCACAACCTGCACCACGCTGTTCGCCAGCACACTTGTCGTTCGTGTCTTGCATTGTTTTATGTTTGCATTTATCAACTGTAAGGCGGATTATTCTCCTAGTTTCTTTGTTTAGAACACGCAATTAAGAGACGAGGGTAGCAGCGTGACTTTTTCACTGGTAACCCATCAACGAAAGCTGTATGTCTACATGATGCCTGATTTCAGGCTTAGATGCTGATCAGAACGGTACGGAGGCCAATGCGGGGGAAGACTCAGACTCAGTGGGTAAAGGGAAGCCTTCGTTGACCACTCCTCTCGCCAGAGAAAAACGGAAGCCGTTCTTCAAGAAACAGGTAAATGTCCTCTGATGAAAGGGTGAGAGCTTTTGTATTTCCTTCTGTGGTAAATGCAGAATTTTACAAACTATGTGCCACCATCCACATTTCCTCTGTCGATCGCCATAAGGCAGAAGCCGGTTACCCATTTATCACATCTTGTCTGATTAAAAGTTGATTGCTATGAACCGCTGTATTTGTGCAGATATGTGCTGAGTGCTGAACGTTTCTACCAAAGTCATTCGCCTCATGACCCAAGTTACGTCTGTTCGCAGGAGAACCTGGCCCCATACGATGTTGTGCCTTCAATGCGGCCCCTTGTGTTAGTGGGGCCCAGTCTTAAGGGTTACGAGGTCACTGACATGATGCAGAAGGCTGTCTTTGACTTCCTCAAAAACAAATTTGAAGGGAGGTGAGTCCAGCTGATAAGGCATTTGTCTCTTCGTACTTTGCATGCTGTTTGTGAGCAAACACATCGAAATAGATCGCGATGTGGGATCAAGTCATTTGGTGAATACTTTGGTGAACCTAATTACTGGCAATCTTGTTGTTTGAATATCATCGGTTTCAGCATATTCATATGACATCCATATATGGTGGAACGTGACGTCTAACGTACGCCTGACGCTAACGCCTAACGTACGCGATTAGTATGTGCGTATCTGCTGTCACGAGTTCACAGTACACGACCCTATTTCAGAATAATCATCACTCGCGTCACTGCTGACATCTCGATGGCGAAACGGAATCTGCTGAACAACCCGTCAAAGCGAGCAATCCTGGAGCGAACCAGCCCCCGTTCCGCCTGTGTCAGCGAGGTGTCGGCAGAGATCGAGCGAATCTTCGAGTACGCTCGAACGCTGCAGGTGAGTGACAGATCGAGCGAATCTTCGAGTTCGCTCGAACGCCGCAGGTGAGCGACAGATCGAGCAAATTTTCGAGTACGCTCGAACGCCGCAGGCGAGCGACAGATCGAGCGAACCTTCGAGTACGCTCGGACGCTGCAGGTGAGTGACTGATCCAGCGAATCTTCGAGTAGGCTCGAGTGCTGCAGGTGAGCGACAGATCGAGCAAATCTTCGAGTAGGCTCGAGTGCTGCAGGTGAGCGACAGATCGAGCGAGGCTTCGAACAAGCTCCGGCTCTACTGGTGAGCACGAGAGATGGAGCGAACCTTCTCGTGCTCTTTGACTCTGCAGACATGCAGTGCAGAAATAGAAAAGGGAGAAGTAGAAAGAGAGATAGAAAAAGGCGAATCAGAACGAGAAACTGGACAGATCTTTCTGTGCAATTAAACTTTGAAGGTAAGCCAGGGATCGAAGGTATTTTAAGTGTTCTCGAATTCTGCAGACAGAGGAACGATCGAACTAATCCTTGAGCTCAACATGTGAGTCATAGAACGAGTGGAACTTTTGGTTTGCTGGAGCACGATAGGTCGACGACAAATTGCTGTCCACGCTGACTAAGCCAGCTGCGATTATCCATACCTCAACTTCATTTCTATCATCGCATGTAATACTCTGGCACGTTCCTTGTGTTCATGACATTGTATTCAGCGTTGTCTGCATCACTGCGTTCCCGTTTGAGTGAGCGCCGGAACGCTTTTTTCAGCTGGTGGTCCTGGACTGTGATACTATTAACCACCCGTCTCAGCTGGCCAAGACGTCTCTAGCACCGATACTGTGTCACATAAAAATCTCCTCACCAAAGGTCAGTGTACCGATGAGTCCCCGAAACCGCTCATAAGTCAAAGGAAGGCGCCGTCCTCCTCTCCTCGGGCAAATAATGTGCAGTTCAGCGCGCCGCGGCGATACATGCATTGTGGCCTAGACGATCTGACATCATTGCCTTTTGTCATGCCTGTGCAAGGCCTCGTGAGCTGTTTCTGTTCATGTGACGGAAGATATCGCCTACGTGAGATGCACGCACCTGTGGTGCCACCTACATGAAGTGCTCACACCTGTGGCATTACCTAAAGGAAATACACGCACCTGTGGCTCGACCGAAAAAGCACATGTTTGCAAGCAGTAAGCGATAAATACATTATTTTACTAACAACCTTTCAGGCTTGTGGCGTCAGTCTGGTCACGTGCTTCCACCTATAGCACGGAACATGTGTAGGAACAAGATAGTTGGGGGTAGGAGTCACTAATTCTCACTTGTGGAAAACGTTCAGAGCATATGAGATGAGGATCATGAAAGCATTCAGTTTCGAGGCTCCGACCAGGCACACAAACACATGTTTTTAGACGCTCCTACGGCATGATATGTCAGCCATGGAACCATGCGCTATGTCATTTTTAGTCGAGATGCAATTTCAGCTGTAGCAGTTACCTTATGGTAAAAGAGACATTGACCTTACGCTGAATGCTGGGTACATGAGCCAGATGGAAGCTATGCTGTCAGGTCGTTTGCCCTGTTGGCAGCCATCCGTTCATTAAAGCTGTGGTAAATGTTGCCAATTCCAAGCGCAGCCCCGTCCAGTGATTGCATAGACCCGCGTCTTCCCGTTCTCTGCTTCCATACGTTACGTCCACGTCTATCTGTTCGTGTGACTTTACGCCCCTCCCTCCCTCATAGGTGCTCCAGCGGCTGATAAAGTCGCGCGGCAAATCACAATCGAAGAACCTGACGGTGCAGATGGCGGCTGCTGAGAAGCTGGACCAGTGCCCGCCGGAAATGTTCGACATCGTGCTGGATGAGAACCAGCTGGAGGACGCGTGCGGCCACCTGGGCGAGTTCATGGACTCGTACTGGCGCGCCACGCATCCTCCGGTCAAGTCTCCGCCGGCCAGCATCCAGCGGCCGGTCCCGTCCCCGCACGCCTCGCCGCGGATGGAGCATTCTGGCCTGGCGCGGCCAGGCGTCACGCCACCCGGTGAGCCATGGTGTCGGTCTGACCTGGTCTGACCTGACCCCGGCCTGGTGCGGCCAGGCGTCACGCTACCCGGTGAGCCATGGTGTCGGTCTGACCTGGTCTGACCCGACCCCGGCCTGGTGCGGCCAGGCGTCACGCCACCCGGTGAGCCATGGCGTCGGTCTGATCTGGTCTGACCTGGCCTGACTCCGGGCTGGCGCGGCCAGGCGCCACGTCACCCGGTGAGCCATGGTGCCGGTCTGACCTGACCCGACCTCACCTGGCCTGACCTGGTCTTACCTGGCCTTCCGTAACATGAGGAACGCGAAATTCGTAGCTTGCCAACATTTGCCGAAACGCGAGTCGAAACTCGGCCCATGCCGCAGCAACGCAGGTGGCAGCAAAGTGGGATCAAAACATTTCGACTCGGAAACGAAGGGTTATTCGCACGGGCAAAATAACGGATCGATGCGCACTGAGGCGCACATGCAGCTGTGGTCAAACACTAGTTTCGACAGTTTAGGAGTATTTTTCAGAAGTCATGTCAAATGTTACTGACCCGAGCAGCCAGCGAAGGGAAATCAACTGCACAATGCAGGTGCATGTATCGTCTATAAATCACGCAGCCAGCCGACACCGTCAGATTCATCGCGACGCCGGTACCCAACTGCGGAGCTATCACCATGGCGTGTTTAAACAGCCGTCATTACATCGCGTTGGCGCCGAAACTGAGCCAGCCGAGGCCGCGAAACTAACACGGCCGCAAACCCACCTCGTGGCGACCTACCGCTGTCCTAAATACCTCCGTATGACACATCCCCTTGTCCACAATCGTCCAAAACGTCCGTGAGCGCAAAATTTCCGGTTCTGGTCGGTGCAAAATGCCGCTCTCCGCTGCCACCAATTTGTCGCCGAATGTGCCTTGCCACTAACGCCGTGAGTTTGCACTGGCGGTCCACGGCGGCGGAAGTTCAGGCGTTGCACTGTCGTATGCGGCTGCCGAGACCCGCGGCCAATCAAGATGGAAATGATTTGTCTGAGACAACAGCACGCAATTACAGTGGCGCTGATATCCGATTTTGTGTGCAGCTGGCCACGCGCCGTCAAGTGCGGTGCATGTCGTATTGGCTTGTCGAATGTACCGTGTGTGACACATATCCGGATGTCGGATATTTAGGCACGCGAGGGGACATCTGGCGGCCCGAGGTCCCAGAGACGCGGCACCAAATGAATTCGGCTGAGACATGACGCGGGGGAATTCGATTATGTTGGTACATAATCCGTTCGGTGGGCAACTGCAGATGTGCTGTTGTGCGCTAGGCGCATGCTGGACGTGCCATCGTAGACTTCTCAGAACCTCGAGCAAGAACATTGAAAATGGTATATAACTAAGTCAACCGCAAGCAACATGAGTTCAGATACGCCGCGTGCGCATCACAAGAAGATGCTCTCCAAATGACCAAACCATAAGACGTTCGGGCTATGACATACTTTGGAAGGAAACAATGCATTCGAACAAATTATGCATCGTATAATACTGGTCCCCTAGCCTTGTGTCCTATTTTTCGCAATGTCCTATTTTCACGTCTGCCACGTCCAAATGCCATCGCGGCTAGGTGCCGGTTCCCTATCCATCGGAGAGGAACCGCACCACCCAGAAAGAAATTTGATAGCCGAGGATGTAGTTTGTATACTTTTGAGGGATGTTGAGCACCCCCCCCCCCCCCACCATGTTGACTTGAGCCCTCTTAATTATCTTCTGTTTCCCTTCCAATACACATAAGCAAAAAGCAAATATGGGCCGATGACGTACAAGTATCTGAACTGCTAGCACGCTAGGCTCTAAACGCATCTAAATTACAACGCATCCTGAACATATTGTCATCGCTACATGTCATCTTCATCACATCAGTTTCGAAAAAGAAGCCATTCTTCAGTATAAAACCATTTTGGAACTGACCAATTAAAAATGACATCAGAGAGCCGAATCAGAGTGGGCAAAATCCGGGAAGAAATGAGGATTTGCGGGTAGGCTAGGTCAAATTTGTCTCTACTCCTCAGCCGATTTTAGAAGGTAAAACCCCTGGTGATGGCTCTGCGCATGATTATTGTGCGGGGGGGGGGGGGCACGGCCAGTGCGTCGCGTTCTGTGGAACAGCTTGGAGTGGGCGCGCGCAGCCGGTGTGACCACAACTGGGGGGGGGGGGGGGGGGGGCGTGACGACGCGCGGCATAAACGCAGCTTAAACGCGCGCAAGTGTGTCGGCGTGCTGCGCCAGCCGGGCAGTAATAGTCGGCACGCTCTGGTGTCACGTGTACCGGCCCGCGCGCCGCTGCCGACACGTGACGGCGAACGTGACGCCAAGTGATCACGGATGTTTTGTACTGGAGAAACAGCGAAGCTCAGTAGCATTGGTGCAGATTGGTTTGTCCTTCAAACTCCGTCTCGATTAAATGTTGGTATAATTTTCGCTGGTTTGGCCTTATGCCTTGCATCGTGTGCTGACTGTACCGCCATGGCATTTCCGGGTGTCCAAACCATCTATGTAAACAACCGTTCCTATTCAAAATAACCTACATACACTACTCTGCTGTTGCAGTTCACCATGAATCTCAGTACGAGAGCTTCGAGGGAGAGGATCGGGGTAAGTGATGCCGGAAAGCTGCCTCTGGCCGTACTCTATTTTTTCTTCACAAACGCACGCTGCACCCAATGTTTTGTGAACACTTTAGAGCGACTCCGAAAATGTTGCGATGCTGGTCACGTTTTCGAGATTTCGTTACTTCCAAGGCTTTTGAAGACCTACCGCGTATTAATTTCAGTGACAAATGCATTTGATTGTAAAATAGACCCGAAGGTTTTTTATAAGAATGTGTCGTCTATGGAGTTTCTTTTGAGCGATTCAATATAATTGCATCTTGAGATATTGAAATATTATGGATTTTAAACGAAGACCTTATGCATTGAATTTAGCTATCGCTTACTGCACTATGTTGTAAGGGAACAGCAATACTCCTGTTAGCATTAACAATATATATATATATATATATATATATATATATATATATATATAGTTGATACTATAGTTGAAACAAGGGCAGCAGTCAATAGCATCATTTATGTGGTTTTCAGCGTTTCGATACATTGCGTACCATCATCAAGGCGAGTGCAGTGGTACAAGTTCAATCAAGTTACAGTGACATATTAGAACATTCATCCAACATCGCTCGACATGACACCGGTCACCGTCACCCAAATCAATGCAACCTGTTTGAGCATAAACAAGACAGATTGAGAACTGTAAAAAAATCACGCGACGAAATTTCCTGTGATTTGGTATGAAAAATGCTACCTTATAATTCGCGAAGGATATACGGACCCCATGATATTCAATGGCGGTTTTTGTTGGTGAGCGTGAAGTGATTCTTAACTCTTGAGATCGAAAGCATTGCTATAGCGTCCTAATGCGAAAAAAATGTTCCATGTTAAAGTGAGTATCCCACGCAAATGAGTGGTCTCGGATGGGCAAAGGGTCTGAGCCAGCCAGAATGCTACCTGTACCGTCAAACTTTCCCAAATGTTGCTGCACTCTGCAATCTAAATTACGAATGGTTGAGCCCACGTAGGATGCTCCACACAAAGAAAATAATATGTATGAATGGTTGCAGAGACAGAACATTTGAGAAGCCCGTCGTTTGATTTAGGGAAAGATCCAAGATTAAAACAGAGTGAAAAACAGTATAAAGAGATAACTATTATGATTATAGGGGACAGAAAAGTGTAAGAAACTTGTAGTAGGTTTGCAGGCTCATTTTTCATCTGTATCGAGTGCCTTCCAAATATGGTAGTACCAAATATTTATTGAGCGTTAGGACTTAATGAACGGTTGGCGCTAAACATATTTTGCACCCAAGGAGTTCATTTATTTTCAACCAAAGTGCTCTTTTATTTATTCAAACATAAAATTACCGAAGGAGGAAGAGCATGAAATCGGCTATTTGCATTTCCTTAATGTGTGAGTTCGAAAGTCACGAGACAAATCTGATACCTCTGTCTGTAGAAAGTCCATGTCCTTTGGTCTTGGACTGAGCTTTTCTCATTCATTTCCGACGCTCTTAAGCTATGTGGTGTGCAAACAGCTATTTGCCGAAATTTTCGTTTAAGGTTCAGCTAAAAACTCCTGGGTCCGAGCTTGATAGCCTCAGATCATTCTGCCAGGAAAACGGCTTCCCACTTGCAATCATTAATTGTTTAATAAGGAGCTTTTTGGGTGCAAAATATGTTCAAGCCACATCTGGTCAGAAGGTCTAAGGCTATATATATATATATATATATATATATATATAATAAATATCTAGCGTTACCCAGGATGTTACCGTACAGGCAACATCCTGACAAACCCAGGCCCTTTGCCCGTCCCGGACCATCCAGCTGCATGTGACTCGCACTTTAGCATCGAAAGCGTTTCCATATTCGGACGTTGCAGCAATTCTCTCCATCTTGGGATTTTGCAATCGCTGCATATTTATAAAAAGGCTGTCATTGGACATCATGGGGTCTACATGTTCTTTGCAAATTATAAGATGACGTTTTTCATGCGAAGTGAAAAGTATATTTCATCGCGTGATTTGTTTGTATCTTTTAATCTGTCTCGCCTATACGCAGAGGGGACGTGTTGATTTGTATAGCTGTGACCGATGCCATGTGGAGAGATGTCGGTTGAATGTTTTAATATTTCATCCAAACGTGATTGAGCTTGTACCGTTGTGCTCGTCCTGATGATGATGCGCAAGGTATCGAAACGTTGAAAACTACATGTATGATGTTGGCTGCTGTCGTTGCCATGGAGTTTTTATTACTTCTTATTGTCCGGGGATGTATATATATATATATATATATATATATATATATATATATACTATATATATATGTATGCACATATATAGTATACTAATATATATTGTATACCATTTCTGTTTCTATATATATTTATATTAGTTATATATATATATATATATATATACATATATGTACATGCATAAAGATATGTACTGACAGAACACGACGTTGCCATTTGTTAGCATTGTTCAGCAGCCCAGCCGTAATTTTCATGAGCAGGGCAGCCAAGCATCCAAAGCCATGAGGCATGTTGGCCGCTGGCAATGACTAAACAATGAAATAGGGGACTTTCAAAAATGGGCCTCCTGATGGCCGACGGAACTGGCCGGTGCTGCCAGCGACCCTGCTGTGTTTGTTGCAGACGTCTACCGGGGCCACCAGGCGCCGCACGAGCGGCGCGAGGAGGACGAGTACGAGGGGGAGGTGACGTACCGGTCCGACCGGAGAGCCCGGCCGGCCCAGCACGGCCACGCCCACCGCCCGGAGCCGTACAGCCCGTCACCACCGCCACAGACCGCCTCGCGACACGCGCTCAACGTGTAGTGGTGTGGCGCCACCGGCCTGTCCCGAGAGGCGAGCGTCGGCGCGGAGACGTACAGTGCGCGGCCGCCAGAGGCGCTCGTGGTCTCCAGCTCGTGGCGCGCCGGCCCCGAACTGATCGTGAGGTAAATGCCATGCATGCCGGGTCGCTCGCCCTTCTACCAGCGATTTGGACGCTTTATCCACTGACGGGTTCTATTCTTGACCAAATATCTTGTTATTGAATTATGCACAAATGGTCTGTCCCGTGTACATAGAAGCCAGACGTCAGATCGGTTCGTTCGTGTTCAACCGCTTTTGCATCTGCCGTACTTTTTCAAATTGATTAGGCTGTCCTCGACCGTCTTGCATTGTTCTTGTGCATCGTGTGATATTTCTGGGGCTGCTTTATGTGTCACAGAGTCAGGCGTATATTTGGTCGAACGGTGGAATTGTTATACAATCCATGAGGTCCCCCCTTTTAATGCCATATAATAATACCCTTGCAGCACAGCTTTCTACTCTCCAAGACAGAACTTCTGTGACATCATGTACCATTGACCGTTACTTTTACGGTCTGCCTGGCACATGTCTTGCATATATTTTGACTGGTTTGCTGTGCCTTGCATATTGGCAAGCCATAGAAGTGAACATTTGCTCGGCCTACGCTTAGGGATATTCGACGCGTGACATATGCGCACATTCACTTACGCATATTGTCACGCAAGTTCGCGTCGACACATCACCGATGTCACGTCCTGTGTTTCTGGACATTCTTTGTCTTTTGCTGAAAACCAGCTGATCTCAACAAAATCACGTATGGAAATGTCGACATCGGTTAATCAACAGCGATTGTAACGGAAGTAACGGCAAATTTTTTGGAAAAATCTCCCTCTTTCACGCACATTTCCATAGTTTCTATCTCCAAAATGCCTAGAGAGGTGCATCCTATCAACGTGCGCGCAACTTGATCGGTAAGCCTTACTCTTGAAGATATGTGTGAAAGATCAAAAGAACGACAGAGCACAATGCCTTGGCGTTGGCCGGTTGTAAGACGTCCGCCTCTGTACCTTTGCGTGCAACAAAAAAGCCGAGTTTTCATGGACTCTGTGTCTTTGACTCCTAAATTTACATTTGGCTCGCAGTTTTTTTGCTATATATATATATATATATATATATATATATATATATATATATGCACATAAAGTATATCAGTGCATTCCTTACAGACTGAAAACTTATAGCCATATGATATGACTGCCGACATATTACCACCCCAGCTGGGCACCACTGCAAGTATGGGCGATAGCCCTTCTCCTCCGTGTTGGTCGCAAATGCGTCTGTCATAAAACTCAAAATACTTGGCAGCGCCAGTTTGCAGTCAGCTCGGAGAATCCCCATGGGTTCTTATGCGTGATGTGGTAGTTGCAGGCCCCGAATCGATTGAAGAGTATAAGCTCGGATACTTAGCGTTTCATGATTTAAGACACAGATTGTGCGGCGTTTGTCACATATGTTCACATTTTATCCGGATGATCTTGGAGGAATTTGATACTAGACTTAAGTGGTGTGGATCTAGCCCAAACATCGACATCGTGTTGGCTAATTACGTTTCATCACAAATTAAACGACGTTATAGCTATCCCAATAGTTCGATTTCCCAACATTTGAGTAGCCAGAAACGTCTGCTCTCATGTTCTGTTTTTCTCTGTGTTTCTTCACTTCCATTTGCATCTTTTATCGCTATAAAACGTTTTTCCGTTTTTTTTATTTGAGGCCCTAAGTTTGCGTGCCGAAATGGGTCTGTGTAAAGCACTAATCGACGATTTACACGACAACCGGGGTTTCCCCGGCCTCGACGGATGCTATTTTGATGTCCATTATTGACTGTTCTTCTCTCTAACTTCAGCTGATACTTGAAGGTTTGAACCTGTATGTACTGCTCCCTGTAAGTGATCCTTAGACTTATTTGAATTACGTCTAAAGGCTCTTTTTCTCTCTCTCCAAGTGGGCGCATGGCCTGATGGGCCGATAGCTTCTGATTCAAATACTGAAGTTTAGGGACGCCGTGTCCCATTGGATGCCTCGTCGACATGCCTGAATCCCCAGATTTTCGTTGATTCCGTGCCATGCAAGCGTATGAACATCCGGTTGGGGTGCGTTCACCGAGAACGCCTGCGTAACGCGTTCAGAACCGTACCCAAAGCTAAGTAACACAACGTGCGATGTCCCGTGCTACCCGACCAGAGGCACGTATGGAACCCTGAAAACGCGATTGCGGCGACAAGCCCAACGGCTGCCGGACGCGAGCACAGCGGCTGCCGGACGCGAGCACAGCGGCTGCTGAACGCGAGCACAGCGGCTGCTGAACGTGCGCCGCATCCCATGTCCACTTGGTTTCAAGATAATCAAAACCGGCACGAGCCCGTGTCCACGCTCCTGTTCCCTCCGCGCACGTGGACGTGTCGAGTGTGTGCATGCCGGCGCTGATTGTGATGTTCATGTACTCTGGGAGTGGCGACCCCTCCCCTCCCACTCAGACCGCAACTCGTCTCATCTCCATAACGTCCATGACGCGGCCAGCGCAGCCCGGGGTATCAGTTACGATGCACCTCCACGCTGGTCTCTGTTCGCCGTCTTGAGATCGCACCTCACCGGTCTCCTGTCTCTCGTTCAGTTGGTTGGGCTGTTTGTAAATACAACTTTTTATCAGAGGGTCGTCAGTGTTGGTCGAGGATCGGGCGAAAGCTGGGCTTCGCAGGAACAAGCAGTATTTCCCCGAATGACATCACATCCGGTGCAGAGCACACGATAAGACCTGAAGCCCAGTCTCTCAGCCAATGAGCCGCGTCTGCCCGCAGCCGCACGTGGGACGGCGGCGCTCAGCCGTACGCTCCTCGGTACACCACCAGTCGCAAACAAATGAAACGCAAATGATCGCAAACTGCGGCCACCAGTCGCAAAAACTAAAACTGCTTTGTTAGGACCAGCTTGATATTGCGCCATTGCACATATCGGACGGTCTAGATGCCAAGGTACGGGCCGGGAAGTCACCAGACAGAGGTTCTTATAGTAGCTAATTGGATAAGCGATAGCAGGGAAGTTGTTTTCTGGTCAAAGCAGTGTAGAGTTCTATTCGTACATGGGGGTACCGTGACAAAAAGAAAAAAAAGAGAAAATAAAATAAGAGGAGACGTGCATGAGTAGAGCACATGAGGGGCCACAGGGGGCGAGCCGAGCACAAAGGCATTTGTGAGACCTGATCATAAATGAAAAATGTAGAGAAGAATAAGAGACCATTGTTCCAGAGACAGAACGCACGTAGAACTTACAAGGAAGCATGGAAGACCGCGGAGAAGGGGGAGAGAGAAGAGAAAAGATGGGGCGAGTGGCACGAAAATGATTTCAAAGTTTGGGAAAAAGTGACAAATGGCTTGAAAAACCATCTCCCACTTTTCCTCCTGTATTCAGGACAATTTGTTTCCAAATTTAGTAAAAAGAGTGATGCGCTGTTTATTTAGATATTTATGATTGACAAACGCCACGGTGATCATCCAAAAAATCATCCTGTTAAATATCGACAAAGTGTTGAACGTAACGTATTGACGAGCAAACATGGATACGCAAAATATAAGCAGGCAAAACGTCGACTTCGCCGACTCCCACGTCCAAAATGTCGACATGGTATAATAACAATAACGCAGAATATGAAAACTTTGAATGAAAATATCGACACGTTGAATATGGACAGGAACAAGATTACAAGCAACTAGACACAGAAGATTTCCGTCCACGGTAGAAAGGAAGGCGTCTTTGGGCTTAAACAGACCATATGTGATGCAAACAAATTTGCAGATAGGGCTCAGATCAGCACATTTGTGCCTTTTCTGCGGTATATACTCACTTTTCTCAGTGGCAATATAATGAAACCTCAAAATACCTAGTTTTATCAAGAATATTTACCTTTGTCCCGAATTGGCATGTCACCCACCGATATCAGAAACTTAAGCTCATCATCAGCGTGTCCGCCTGGTGCACGCAAATATGCTTTGTTTTTACTTTCCCCTTGTCGGTTTGTGATGAAATGATTTGGAGGAGGTAGGGGAGTCAAAGTGCATTGGTGACCATCCCACCTCTAAATAGAAAAACGGTAAAACGCTTTCGTCAGGCAAAGGTTAAAACGTCAATCAATGCTCAAGGTAGCCAAGATTGTCACTTTCACCGCTCAAGCAAAATCATTGTTGTTGCTTTGGCACGGCGTTCTCAGGGACCTGGCGCTGTGCCCTGAGAGCCCCGGCATGACATTCGCAGAGACCTGGAATTCTGCCCCGGGCCCTGACGCGTGATTGATCGTGGTTAAGTGCCGCTATATGTAATAAATAATGACAATTATTGGCACCTTAAGCCTCACCGACAGCTTGGGTCATTTCGAGACGAACGCCTTTCTTAGTGTCGCATGGGATGCAGTGATGGCGTGGCAGGGGCCCCGACCCAAGACTGACAGGTCCAGAGTCCAGCGCCCTAACTACTATACGCAACGGTCTGCCGGCTCCAAGGAAACTGATGAACTGCTGGACAACTGTTGGAAAACTTTGGCTAGTTCCCTTTTTCAACACAAAATCGGTTTACCTTGGTTGTGGAACCTCGATCTGTCATAATTCAGAAAATGACAAAAATTTCGACCAAAGATATCGTGAAACGTACAATGTATGTGATCTACACCTTGAAAATAGCAGTCTTCGACGAACGGACCCACGACGGGCATACTTGGTACCAGCCACCGCGTCTGATGCCCCCCCCCCCCGCCCCCAGCTCGTGCGGGCGGTGTGGCGGCGCGTAGCGGGCCTGATCCGGCCAGTGGTGCGGCCGGCTGGCGCGGAGCAGGTGCAGGCTTGGAGAGCGCGCGGCCGGTCAGCTCCAGACACGGCACGGACGACAGGCGGCGCTCACCAGACAGAAGAAGCGTGTTCCCGGGACCGGACGGTCAGCGTGCTGGCGCACAGCAGCTCAGTCAACCGCTGCTCAAACGGCAGCAAGGGTCTGGTCAGTTTCGGAGCGGATTTCTAGCAGCGTTGCCAGAAGCCGTCAAAGTCGCAGAGATAAACTCCGTCGGGTGTCCTTGGGAGAGCTTCAGTCCGACGTCACGGACATCATCGCTGAGAAAGCTCACTGGACGCATTGACGAACTTCGCTGGTGACACCACTGAAGAACTCCAGTAGGAACATCACTGCCGGACGTCACCGGTGACACCGCTGCCGGGCATCACTACACATTCCTGCAGCCGCGCAAGAGGAAGTCATCCCGCCCGAAGCCACGCCGAGCAGCAGGATCAGGGTTTTTTAGTCTGAAGTTACCCAGAAGTGTTCCGGCATCAGCTTGCATGGCATGTCGCGACGACATGAACCTGCATTCCAGACCCCGCGTCACCAGAAAGGTTGGTTAGAATTACAAATGTCGTGCAGTTCCCGCTAAAACAACCTTTCGTGCCATTCAGTGATAATTTGTGTGCAGTAGAGTCTTCGACTACTTCACTACGTACGTAAAAATTCTGAGGCCTTTATTGCAGCATCGCGCTCTTTCATTTTTTTCTCAAATATGTCCTCTTTATGCAAACGATGCATCACTTTTTTCTGAAGATTGCCCAAAACGTATCACGCAACACCTGCAGTCCGTTGAGGGAGAGTAGCTTCAGATGCTGGTCTAAAGAGGAAAGGTGGGGGAGTGAGAGTGGGAGAAGTTTGAGGGGCAGTGAATTCAAAATACGAGCGGGGAATGCGTGCACGCACGGACAGCTAGAGAAAGTAGGTCAAGGTCATCGTGCGTCCGAAGAATCATCTTATTCCATACACATCTATTGCTCTACATGTACTCTGATCCTGCCGGTCGGCTTGACCCTATTTGGGCAGCGGGCTAAAGCACCAGCCTGTACAGCCCCGTGCAGACATCATTCGCATGCACAGGGTCACAAAGGCTGCAGCCGTGTACTGATATTCAGTAATGCGAACGGCTGCCGGCTGCTGGCCATACCGGGAGCCGCCTCGGAGCGCGGCGGCGGCGGGCCGGTCGTCATGCCCGTTCACGGTCGGCTGCTGAGAGGGTCGCCGTCACCGTCAGTCGCCGCCCGTCCTCCTGGCGGGCCCCGCGCGCCTCCAGCACCAGCGTGCGAGCGGCTGGCGGTCACAGCGAGTGGCTTCCGCCAGCTGATAGCCTTGTGTTTCCTCGACAGTCAGGCTCGACGGGGGCCGTGTTTACCTGGTAGCTTTGCCCACCTGGTGACCACCATTACTGGGCGGTTTAACCACCTGGTTAAAGCTCATCCGGTACTGGTCACCTTGTAACCGTAATTTCCTGGTAACTTTATCACTTGGGAGCCGTGTTCATATGGTGACTGCTCACCTGGTGACCGGGCCCACCTGGTGACACTGTTGATCTGCTGGCTTTATCACTTGGTGACGGTTTACCTGGTGATTCGTTACCAGGTGACAGTGTTCAATTGGTCACTGTCCACCTGGTGACAGTGTTTTAACAACTGACTGTTCACCTGGTCGCTTTATCACCAGTGACGATGTTCACTTGGTGACTCCTCATCTTGTGTTCATGTTCGCATGATGGCGCTGCCCATTTGCTGGATGTCGAATATATCCACCTTTCGCTAAAGGCGTCGGCATCAGCCATTCAGTAGGAACCGGTGCGGCTCTGATCCGGCTGGCCACCCAGCAGGACTCCGTACCCATCTGATCCAGCTGTTCATCCGGCAGGACTCCGTGTCCCTCCGATCCAGCTGTTCACTCAGCAGGACCCCGTGTCCCTCCGATCCAGCTGGTCACCCGGCAGGACCCCGTACCCTCTGATCCAGCGGGTCACCCGGCAGAACCCTGCACCCCTCTGATCCAGCTGGTCATCCAGCAGGACCATGTACCCCTCCGATCCAGCTGGTCACCCGGCAGGTCCCCGTGTCCCTCCACGTCATGGACCCGCTCCACATTCTACGAAGTGTGCTGGTCGGGCCGCTGCCAGCGGTTCTTGTTTGCGAGCCGAGCCGAGCGGAGCCGAGCCAGGCCGGGCGCTGTGTGGTCGGCGGCGCCCGGACAAATAAGGAGGTGCACCGTCATCCTCCGACACAGCGACGTATTTGGCGCGGCCGGGGCAAATGCGCCCGCCGAGGAAGACTGATGACCGGTGTCGCCACACCGAGCATTCAGTCCTCTGACCGGCGGATTGAGATAGGAATCCATTCCGTGGGGTCGCGTGCGCGTCACGACAATTAGGCCAATGAGACCGATGACCTGTTCATGTAAGGCTCACGTTTTTGATATGCTCCTTGTCGGGCGAGCAAGTGTTCCAACCGAGGACGGTGAATAAGGGAGAGGGGTGGCTGCCCTGCCCTCCTCCCCCCCCCCCCCCCCCAACTCCGAGCAGCATCTAACTGTAACCCTATGCCAGTGCATGAAAAAAACTAAATAAAAATCACTTGCCCCTCATCTTCACAGATGTTCCGTCACTGCTGGCCCTAGGTTTTTTACGCAATGGTTGTGTAGATTTTGTGAGATCGTTGCGGATTGCTCATATGTGCATCGGGTGGATGAGGCTCAGTCCATCCCGTAGCATTCGGATGGACCAGGGAACAACGGATTGGCCAGCCAACATAAATATGGATGAACAAATATTGGTTGTGCTTGAACGCTGTTGCGTCTTGAATGAGATGAGTTAACGCGAGCTGGGTTTAACATCGAGTCCAGCATGAGCAAATACTAAATCAGTATCGTTAATGCACTCTGATTAGCTGTACGTGGGAGCCCCTAAACTTCTGCTCACTGAGTAGCGTGCGGTTGGATCAAACAACCTGGTTTACATCGACAGTTGTCGGCTTTGACCCGTGCTTAAAGCCGCCAGCGCACGTGCAGACCCTGGCGCCCAGGACGTGGGCGAACATTAAACGGCCGGTCTGAACGGCGCCTGTGGCTGCCGCCCTCAGCTGTCGCCACCGAACCCTGTGTCAAGGCGTGTCTCCCCCGGCCATTCGCGTCGACCAGCGATCGGACTGTTTTGCTTCCGCCCTGCAGCGGCCAAGACTGCAACCCGACCGACCCCAGGAGCACTCCCCCCCCCCCCCCCCTCCACCTCAGCCGCGCGTTTGACCGTCGGCACTGCGCGGCACGCGGCGAATCGCGGTCAGACGCGGCAGAAACGCAGGCAGTCAGCTGGCGCGGCAGTCAGCTGGCCGCGCGACCCTCGCGAGCCACACGGCCGTCGCAAACGATTTTAGTCTGGCTGGGATCTCTCGGAACCTACGACTAAGGGCCCGAAGGGTGCAAAAAACCGGCCGGAGGTCCCCTTTAGGGGCCCCGGCCCGCAGGGCCGGACACTCCATTGACAGCCAGAGGGCCCTGCGTGCTCATCAAGAGCCCACTGAGTCGATGAGGGCCCATATTTCGGTCAGACACCTCCAGTAGCGCACGGTCAGCCACGTGTCGGAATGGGCCTAAGGGTCGATTTCACAAGTAGGGACAAAGCAGGAGCCAGCGATTTCCATTGTTTGGGGCCCCACAGCGCCTTGCAGGGGACCTGTGTTGTCAAGGGGCACCGACCTTTACCCGTCTGAGCCATTGAGACCCATTTCCCAAGCGGGAACGAGGCTGGGGCTTGCGATGTGCGATGTTTGGGTCCCTAAGTGTTAGTTAGGGAGTGCGGTGCCAAGCAGGGGTCCTGTAGCGGCAAGTGGCTCCAAGTCGGAGCGGTGTTTGAGGGGGCCCGGCGAGTGGCCAAAGGGTCTCGAGACCAAAGATCAAGGGCCCGATGGAATGGCTAAATGTTCCGAAAGGCTGGCCGTTGGTCACATCAAGGGCCTTTGCCCAAAGCGCCGTGATCTCAAATGTCAGTAAGATCTATCTCACACCGCACGTGTCGGAATGGCATGATTCCAATGATGTGACTGTGTCATGTAACCTTACTTCCTGCTACCACGGCTGCATTGCGTACTGCGCACTGCGCCCCTCTGGTGCCATTTTGCCGTCGCGGTACACTCTCGATACCTTATCCTGTGCACTCCAAGGCTTCTCCTGGCTTGATTGTGTGTGTGTGTGTGTTGTGTGTGTGTGTGTGTGTGTGTGTGTGTGTGTGTGTGTGTGTGTGTGTGTGTGTGTGTGTGCGTGTGCGTGTGCGTGTGCGTGTGCGTGTGCGTGTGCGTGTGCGTGTGCGTGTGCGTGTGCGTGTGCGTGTGCGTGTGCGTGTGCGTGTGCGTGTGCGTGTGCGTGTGTGTGGTGTGTGTGTGTGTGTGTGTGTGTGTGTGGTGTGTGTGTGTGTGTGTGTGTGTGTGTGTGTGTGTGTGTGTGTGGTGTGTGTGTGTGTGTGTGTGTGTGTGTTGTGTGTGTGTGTGTGTGTGTGTGTGTGTGTGTGTGTGTGTGTGTGTGTGTGTGTGTGTGTGTGCCGTGCTGGGCCCCGATAGCACGGGGCCAGAGTGGCGCTTTGCGGCGTCGTTACTTGTTCTCGACCTGGGCAGCCAGCATACAACTTCGGAGTGATTATAGTTGGCCGGTGCATTTCACACTGTTGCCGGTACTTCACACTGCCGATAAGACCATTGGTGCGGCACTATCAACGGAAGGCGGCTGATACCGGGCCGTCAGGGCTCCGCGCCGTTCACCGCTTCGGTGCGGCTGAGGTGTGAATCACCTGCCGAGAGAACCGCCGTCAATAAGAGTCTGGCCCGTCCCCAGGCTCAGCTGGCTCGCGCGCTCTTCGACAACCCGTCCGAGTGTGCCGGGGAGCTGGAGTTCCGGCGGGGCGACCTGCTGACGGTGCTGCAGTCAGCGGCCGCGCCGCCGCCCGGCTGGCGGCTGTGCTCGCTCCGCGGCCAGCAGGTCAGCTGCGCCTTCCGACCCTGCCGTCTCTCTGTGTGGGGGTCACATGCTTTCGAAAGGGGCTCTATGGGTGCGTGCGTTACATGTCTGGGTAAGTGCCGTGTCTTGTCATGAATCGCAACGCGAGGTTTTTTTGCCTGGTAATTCACTCGGTGTTTTGTTCCTATGCGTGGCCACATTCTTATGCTCCATAGCCGCTTGTCCATCAATATCATGCTACAAACATGAACATAATGCATCTCGGGTATTCCAACGCGTTGGCCGGCATTTGTTGTGCGATGTTTATGTTTGTATTTTGTTTTTATCAGACCTCATTTGATTTGCAGGGTATCTGTCCCCGGAACCGTCTGCTCATGTTGACCGAAGCAACGGACGCAGACTTTCACAGCAACTCGCACCTGGTGCGAAGCGGTAGCCTTCGTCTCGCCAGCTCATCGCCCTCGGTACGCCCTGGATCGATATTTCATCTCTGGCGCTCAACTGGTGCAAGCTCACGTCCTTTGAAGACGGGCGAACATTGTGTCACTGCGAGTACAGCTCCTCACGTGGAGCTAAGCACTCTTCGGTTGGCAGCACTGTGTTCTACGCCCGGACTAATGGGACGCTCGGTCCTTGTGTACGGCTTGTACTGAAAATGTATGTTACGCCTGTGATTTGCCTTCCGCAGAGGCCATCTCCAAGATGGAGCATATCCAGTCTGCCCGGCCCACTCATGACTTGCCGAGATCACAGTCCCGGTGCGTTTACCCCGGCTGACACTGGCAGTTGCAAGGTTTGGTGGGACAGCTAGGAATGCCAAAACGACTATTGCATAATCCCGTGCCTCAATCTGTTAAGAATCAACGAAGGCCATGTGTCCAGTTTAGCATTCAGCGCATTAGCAGTGGCCACATGAGTGCACGGTACTATAAATGTCTCTGTGAGATATCGGCGACCTTGCGCCAGCATCATCGGGTATTTTACGAGACGATGCCAATGCTCGGCGTACAAAAGCATTCTCGTTGGTGAGTAATGACCATTTGCTTGAAGGAAAACTGCCGAATGCCTGTGCTTCTCGTGCGAATATCTAACCCACTGTTTTATGGACCTCTGAAGGATGCTGTCTGTTTTCAGACGTGTACGACATCCCACCAAGCCCGCGACCCATCCATGCCGCGGCTGCCGGTCAGGACTACGACGTCCCGCGGTCCGGTCGGAACCACGCCGCTCCCTCCTCCCCCGACCGCAGCCAATCCGTGCGGAAGACCCGGGTCGCCGCCCCCGGGCTCCCCTCCGATCTCCTCTGGAGGTCGGCCCCAGTCTCCGCCGCTCCCGCCCCTCCTGACCACCCTCGCCGAGAAGCACCAGTCCGCTCCTCCTCTCTGGAGCGTGGCCAGCTAGCGGCGGCGCCGGACGAAAGACGGGAGCTGCCCGGCGCGCAGAGGTCGTGGCCACACGATGGCGCCGAGCAGACCTCACGGGGTCATAACCCGGCACGACCCACCGGGTGTGGCGCGGCAGATGTGTTCGGCGCGGCCGAATCTCAGAACCCGCTAAAGGCCTCTCCGCTTCAGCACGGGACGCCACTCTCGCAAGCTCGTCATGGCCCTGGCGCTCCGCAGGCAGCTTTGCGCACAGCCGGGATTGAAACAGCGAGAGGCTTATCCCGAGCCCCGCAGGCACCTGAACGCACAGCAACAATAGACCACTCTGTCGACTGGACAAGTGGCCAGATCAATGCCACCGGTGGCTTGAGCGTGCATGGCGCAATTCGCAACCGGTTATCATGTGTGCGATCGCCATCAGCGCGGCAGCACTTCACCGAGAACGTCACCGGCTGGGAAACGGAGATTCCCACTCCGTCCGAGAGATGGCGGGGCGATCAGCCTGCTGTCGCTGCAAACGACTCTGCCTCACATCGGACCGGCAGTCTGCACAGTTCGGACTCCTCGCTGTCGTCCAGCGCCGGCGAGTGGAATGTTCTGCCGCTGGCGGTGGCTGCCTGCCGGGACACGCTGCACGCACTGGAGAGCGAGGTGCTAGCCGCTGTTAGCCGCCTGCTCGCAGGGGTACGCCGGCCGGGCTCGCCCGCGGCGACGGTGCTGACGCTGCAACTGGACGTGACGCGGCTGCGTGAGGCGCTGCTCGAGCTGGTGCAGTTCGCCGGCCGCGCGGCGGCTGGCGCAGATGACGTGGCCGTGTCGGAAGCGCTGGCACCGCTGCGCGAGACCTGGCGGCGCGCCGAGCGCGTGGCTGACACGCAGGAGGCGCTCGGCTGGAGGCCGGCCGCGTCGCACGGCCGCCACTCGGACACCGGGCTGGAGGAGCTGCTCGCCAGCGCCGTGGGGCTGCGCGCGGCCGTGCCACGGCTGGTCGCCGCCGTTCTGACCGTCCAAGCCGCGCCGCAGTGTCGGAGCTCCCTTCCTGACCGGAGACCAGCCGCCAAGGGGGGCACCCCCATCGGAGGGCGATGGACAGCGCTGATGGCCGACTACGACTTCGTCCTCGTCACTAAACGGCCAAACGCCAAGTATTTTGATGGCACTCAGGAGTTATTCAGCGACGAAGTCTACGCGGCAGGAAGGGATCCCAACACAAAGAGCTCGGCGCATTCCCACGAGGCCGAGGTCCTCAGCTTCTACAAGAGCCAGGCCAAAGTTCATCAGACTCACCTGCGTGAGGCGACCGATCGGCTGCTGGGGGCCATCCGGGCAGGACAGCCACCACTAGTGCTCGCCGCCCTCTGCAAGTTCGTCGTTCTGAGCTCACACAAGCTGGTGCACGTGGGGGACACCGTGCACAGATGTTTGGTGAGCCAGCCCGCGCGCGACGCAGTATTTAACGCTTCCGACCGCCTGTTTGGTGCCCTGCAGCGTACTGTGCAGGCGACCAAGATGGCGGCCCGGCGAACTGCAGGTTCTGACGCTTCTTGCAAGATGGCAGAGGAGTTGTCGAGCCTACTGAACTTTGCGGCGGACCTCGATAGGGCGTTATTTGATGTTGAGCTGCCACATCAGCCAACAGAGGCCTGGCGCGGCGGCGCGCTGAGGTAGGCGACAGAGATGTGCTGAACTTTGCAGTGCTGAAGTCGTAGTAGTAGTTGGCTCGTTCTGACCTAGTGATGCTTTATGAAGACGTTCCACATGTTGGGTAAATCACAGCAGCATCGACTGGCTTGCAGCATTCTGATTTGGGGGCTTGTATTTAGGCCCCTGGAATTAATCCTTCCGTTGAATACGCAGCGTTATCACACTGCCACAAACGTGCTCATTTCTTGAAGTAAACCGTCCCACATTAGCTTACATTACGGTATGCGCCATGCTCAACTTACCTAAATCGCCAAATCAAACAATAAATCGTGAAATTAAGTGTGAATTGCACGAAACAACGGCATGTATTCACATACAAACACGTACCCACATCGGATGGGTAAAACAGTGACAGAGCTGTCCACGTTTAGGTACATCACGTGCATTATTCACAAACCCCTCAGCGACACATGGCGGACATATTGCAGTACGTGGAAAAGACACCTACCCCAAAACCGACGTCACGAGCCCCACGTCAGCACCATAACCAAGGCAAGGCATGATACACATGAATAAATACATCATTATGCAGGCTCCGCATGGCGAGCCAAACAAAGCATGAATTGATATTAAAAGTCTCGCTCAACAAACCATGGATTGCTACGTAAGATAAGTTTGGTGTCGCCGGTGTGCCGATGCTCACTTCCATCTTGCAAAATAGGGGGGGGGGGGGCACCCAACATAGCCATCATCAAACATACACAAAGGCAGCACGCAAGGTAGACACTTGAGTTAGGAAACCGTGCAACATGGGGAGGACTCACTGTAGGGCGACTGGTGAGCATTTTCGTTTACCATGGTTTCGGACTTATACAGAATGGACCAAGTGCGCACCTTGGTCAGGAGTTACAAACCGCGTTCAGATTTGCATTCGTGGCACACGCAGATAACCTCACAGCCATGCACGCTGGCAATCCAGATGGAGAAGACTCACAGCACACAAGGTCACGGACTGCACTCGGTTAACCCTGGCTGGTATTTATCTACTCGTGGCTACCAACCACTATTCACAATATCCCCACCACATGTCAGCTGTATTCCATAATTGGGACACTTCACGTACTGCTCCCATTAAAAATAGACTCCATCTTGGAATATGGAAGCTAATGAGGAGCCTTTGTCAAAGAACCCTAGAGATATTCTGCACTGACAGTCTTGAGCCCTGCTAGTGATCTGCCTCAGTAATGTCCAGCTGCCGACAATGGCAGAGCAGCATCTAGAAGTTCCGAGGGCAGAATCTGCGCACAGCGTAGCACGACCCCCTTTCCAGCAGTCCGCGCAGGGTCCACAAGTCGTGGGCGCGGCGACCGCCGGGCTTTCGGCGGCCGCCAATGTCATCCTAGGTTGACGGCTCGGCGGCCAGATGGCAGCATGGTCGGCGTCACTCGCGGCGCAGTCGCCGGCTGGTCCGTTGCCGAACCCGGCGCAGCTCGGCCGCCTCCGGTGAGGGCTCTCGGCCGGCGTCCAGCATCTCGCGAACGAACTTGAAGCGCGACAGGAAACACTTCCAGACGATGTACCAGCCTGCCGGGACAAAAACAGTCTTAAAGAGAACGTTCCACATTTGTAGGCTGTTTAGAAATGAGATAATCACTTTGAAGAGCCGTTCAATGGAATCCAAAGCCATTCTCTTTTTAAGACCTTAAGCTCTTTCAGTTTTTTGGCCTGCCGCACTCAAAACTTGTGCAGCGTAGCATGTTTGAATGTCACCCAGAGATGCACGACACATAGAAACGTCACACGAATACCTCCAATGGTCATGTGGTGCTCAAGGTCATGTAATACTATCACCTAAGTATTCGTAACTGGCGTATGTCAGCCCGGATTCGTGGCATCCACGTGTAGTAGTTGGACTTCACCCAAATGAAGGTGCTGAGTGCGAATTTCTAACCCGTACCTCCTTTGGCGCTGCGTAATACAGCGAATTGGATACCTTAGGGAACGTTTTTAACCAAGTATGCAAATGCAAGTAGAAAAATATAAGGTCACGGACAACTCCACAATAACATCACGAGGAAGGGTCAACACACGTGCACATGACGATATTAGGATTCCGCAAACACGCATCAGTGAAAGAGCCACCTGCAGGCGAGTTGAGATATTGCGGGCGAGTCAGCTCGTCCGTCCGCTCCAGTGGTAACTCTGACATGGTCAGTCCGGCGACAACACTAACGCCACGCAAAACATTCCATGCCGCAACCAAACGGTGACGGTTAAACCAATCTGCTAGAGACTGATAACTGTCCAGTGCTTTTCATCTGAGTGAACACACAAGGGCAAACAGGTGCAGAAGTGATTCCGTTCATACTATGAGATGGCACCAATCCAGTGTCCTGCTGCTCAGCTCATCATTCAAGTTGAATGTACACAGCATTTGAAAGCAGATGAGTTCCATACCTGGGCAATTTGATGATGACTCCCATCACAAGGAAAGGCAATTTCCCTCTTTTTATTTCTGAGCAGATATGGCACAATAAAAATACACATGCATTGCGCCAATGAGTTATTCAATTAGAGGGCCACATCGACTGCCCTGGTCGCTGGGGACTTGATCCCCTTTGCCATTCATTGAAATATATGCTGTGAAACTATGTGAAGACTAATAAGGTAGCATCTGTTAATTAATACAACCTTCACTCTGAGATACTTTCTTCATCCGACCCTCTTATACCCTATCTTGCTTCATTTTTTATCCTCGCGACACGCCGCTTGTCCAAGCAGGCTACATGCGCCAGCTACGAATGGAACGACAGGCCCCTGGAGGGGGACCCCGACCGGGCGCCTAGCGCATACCCCAAGGAGGGTCCCTGCGCGGGCTAAGCTGGGTGGTTGCCCCCCCCCCTCCCCCCACCCACCCCCAGTCACATGTGGTCCTGCCTGGCCGCTATCTAATCTCCTTCGTCCAAAAGCCCGGAAATGATGAATATTAGTCGAAAGAGCTCTAATCCACATAACCAAAATTGCCAAAACCAAGTAGTCTCAACTTACCTTACCCTTCCTTATCGTCATCGGGAATTTAAAAGGCCACTTGAGCTACTATCTCGGCCTTTTCCAGCTGCCGTTCACGCAGCTGAATATTCTCATCTTAGGGATACCATCGGTGTGGTATGTCATACATAGTCAGCCCAGTGTTGATCGAGCCTGGATTTAAACTGCTCGACCGAGGATGTGATACCAGTGCAAGTGGAGGAGAGCTCCGATCATTTACGACCCCGGTGCTGAACGAATTCCGACAGACAGAGGTCCTAGGTCGAGGTTTTCTCAGCTTCGATTGGTGTTCTCTCGTCTATTTCGAGATGCACCTTGTCTGGAACTCAACCACGTCTCTACTACGACGACGGTAGTACAGCGAGGGTGGCTGGAGAAGTCACGGCCTCTCGGCATATGACCGGTACCCCGTTTCTTGGACAAGACGCGGGGCTCGGCTTTGAACCCACAGCAGCTGCCGACAGCGCTTTGCACTTGGTCTGGTAAATCGTTATCGAAGATTATGCACAGCGTTGGTCCCAGCACCAACCACTGAGGGATGCCGCTAGTCACGTCGGTCCAGTCAGCCGAGTTTGTGCTTACTGCAAGCCCTGGACCCACACTCTCTGCATCTGGTGGGTGAGGAAGGCCCTGATCCAATGCAGCAGGTTACCTTTCACACCATAGACATTGAGCTTGCAGAACAATCCATTATGAGATACAGAATCCAAAGCTTTGATGAAGTCCAGGTATAATATGCCCACAGGCTCCCTGTCCTCTACTGCGGCACTCCAATCCTCTAGCACTTCCAATAGCTGTGTGTTACTGGAATGCTTCAATAAACCCATACTGAGCCACATGAAGAAGTCAGGTTTCAAAGAAGTGTTCAATTACACTATCTCTGACAAAAACTCCAACACTGTGGAAGGAACAACAGTAAGGCTCACTGGGAGAATGCTGAAGAATGTATGTTAAGTTCCTTGAAGATCAGGACTACCTCACCAAGCTTCCAATCTGATGGAAACCTTCCAGATGCCAATGAGCTTCAGAACAGCAGACTAAGATGTACTGCCAGGACATCTGCCGACTCACGAAAAATCCTGGGATGTACATCATCTGGCTAAGGGGGCTAGGTGGTTTCAGAGCAATGTCCCTGCCACTGCCTGAGTAGATCCCATGTCTTCCAGAGGCCATTGGCTGAGGTTGCAAGGCATCACAGGCACAGCACTAGTCCAACTGTCTGTGAGAACCTTGGTGAAGAAGTTCTAGGGAACACTGCTGTTTTCCTTATTTCTGTTAGTTAATGCTCAAACATCATCAAGAAGGCCTTCTAAACTGCACATTGTGCATGGTCTTGAGTTGGCACACCTACCAAAGGCCTTCTGATTTGTTTTGAGATCTGCTGCCAGTTCACTTTTGTACTGCTTCTGAATATTTCTGGTAAGCATCCTTAGGTCATGTTTTACAATTAAATAGAATGGTACATTTTGTTCATATTAGCCAAGCTAACTATAATCCAGTGCCTGGTGGTGATCTCATGTGATGACAAAACCCAAAATAAATGCACCTGCCAAACTACACCAAATAAGGGCAACTAACTGACGTTCAGTTTACCTTGCTGACTTTGGAACTTCATGACATAGTTAAAATACTAACATGACAGACAAATATACAGGAGAAAATCTAAAATACCAAACACTGGATGACAACACAAAAAGAATCATACTACACTGGATACCAAATGCTGGATGACAATACAAGATATGACCATCCTTATCTTAAATAGGTATACTTACCAAGAGCAACAAATGCAAGAACCACAGCCAAAGATCCAATCACAGATGCCACTGTCAACAGGTATTCCTTCATGGTTACCAACTGAAAGAGAGAAACACATATATGGTCTTCTAACATACAATATCATCTTAATTCATATTCAATGGTCACATAGATCATCAATAATAATATTATGCCCGACTGACAATACAGCTAAACAATTGTTGTCTGTGAATAAATAACCATGAAGTTGAGTAATACAACTTATGAAAAAGCACACACAAAAGGCCACCACCATAGCTATATTTTGTTACATGCTCCTGTAGATGGCTCCAAACAAACTGAAGCACTCATCTAACAGACACTGTGCAGGTTCACAAACAGCTCCACTAACACAACAGAGCTCTCACTGCACATAACTTGGCCCACACTTGTAACCTGAACAAGTTGTATCTTATCAGCCTGCCATAACAACCTACAGTATAAGCTAATGATATTTTTGCAAGGGAAATAAAAAGCTTCCATTTGTACCACTGTGGGATGCCAACAGTGTGTACCTAGGCCCCTTTGTTTCAAGACAAGCATTCAGTGTCAGAAGTGAAACAGTCATTATTTTGTGATTTGCATCATATAAAAAACAGGCCAACATTGGTCTGGTAAATGGGAAGATTTCCTAAGTGTCTAACACCCCAACCACAGTCTGCAAAAATCAATGATAATGATAAAAGTTAGATTGAAATCCAATCATAACTGAGCTGGACACCCATGGTGCATCAGTTTATAGAATGGCAGGTCCATGTGCACCAAACTCAGGTCAGATCAACTTTACCTTGGGCTTAATTTTTCAGAGTATGCATGCATGAAATTACCTTGGCAACTGCATGATTCCTTAAAGCACCATGTGCAAACCTAAAAGGGTAACATTTACAGCATGCATGCTCTGAAATTGTTGCTCCAACCTTTGCCAGACATGGCCCGCATAACACGCACTTAAGCAGCCTGTTGACCTGACAGACCTACCCAGAACACAACCTGGCACATGGCAACATCACATTGCTGTGTGGTTACACATAAGCGATCGGGGAAGATGGTCCAGACAAGACATGGCATAGCAAAGGCAATTTATGACATGCTCTTTGCGCGTATCACAAAGTAGTAAAATACGCTAACTTACCAGCTGTCTTCCTCAAAAAACACGTACCGATTGCGCTAAGTTATATCTTAACCAGTTCAAACGGCGCACGTTGGCGTGCCGCTCCTCGCGACGTGCGGATTTGTGCGTCACATATGAATATCAGTTATGGTGGAGGCCATCTTAGACCAATTTTTTTAACACTGCTCGTTGGAGTTTTTAATAAACCTTTCAGGCTAGCATAAATATTTGTTTTAATTATTCTATAATTTTTTCAAAGCTGAAAGCAACCAATTTAATGGTAATCAGCTTGTGACTGAGTAGAATGAGAATCATAAACGGGATGAATCAAAAAGGCATACCCAACGCAGCTAATACAAATCTGAACTTATGCAAATTTGCATGACACGGGGATGTACAGAAAAACACGTAAATACCCCAAATTTCCCTCCATAAGCTTTGAGGTGGGGCGGTGAAGGTGAGAGATGTAGTGGGGAATGACGGCCCCAATCATTTCTGGCCGCCAACATTACGCCTATGGTAATCTGCGGGGCAAAAGGCCGGACTTGTTTTGAGGCTCGCATTGTTTCAGAACATTGCAATCGTTAAAAAACGGCTGTGTGAGAATTGGCGACTTTGTTTACTTTGGTAGAGTTTGTAATACGCTACAGCCATGGCACTGAGTGGTGATTGGTAGGTGTTGGATGGGCATGGATCGAATCATCATGTTGCGGAATCAAGAAAAGGAGGTAGTGTTAGAATTAGGGATAGGGGTAGACAGTGGTAGGGGTATGAGAAATGGTAGGTTAGGTTAGGTTAGGTTAATTTAACTCCTGGAAAATTTCTGGCCTCATCCAGGCAGTGACATTACATGTTATTACTGTGCTAGTACTTAGCAAAAAGAAATATGTAATTATTAGTTGTCATGGTGTCACCTGGCCATTAGTGGATGTATGGTGTGTTGCCAATATTGTTTTGCTGTTGTATTTTTGTCATAGTCTCTAAAAATGCATGGTGTGTGGAGGCAGTGGTTAAGATTGTAGGAGCATGAGTCTTACTGGTGTTCCCTCCAAGATACTAGAATATTTTGTCTTAGATGCCATAATTAATCACTTCTCAGAGTCTCAACTTCTTCATGCAGCCCACTATGGATTTCTCCCAAAGCAGTCCTGTATCATCCAGCTGTTAGAAATCATGAAAGATTGGAGCGCCATGGCAGAGCATGGAGAGCTCGTGGACATGGGGTATCTGGACTTCAGCAAAGCTGTTGATCCTGGGCCTCAACCATCTGCTCTCCAAGCTCCATGCTTAGGGTGTGAGAGGCATCTTGCTATGCTGGATCAGGGCTTTCTTTATCAACTGGATGCAGAGAATGCCAGTCCAGAGCTGAAAATAGGACTGGATCAATGTGGTCAGTAGCATACCGCAAGGATTAGTGCTTGGGCCAATGCTATTCATAATCTTTGTGAACGACCTGGTAGAACAAGTGCAAAGCGTGGTCAGGATCTTGGTGGATGACACCAAGATCTTCTGTCGTATCCCGAGGTCTCTGACTTACTCACCTCCATGGGTTGACCTTGACACCCTAGTCAAATAGTCAGAGGAGTGGCTGCTCCCCTTTAATGCAGTAAAGCAGTGCAGTAGTGCACATTGGGAGCTGCAACCCGAGGCTGACGTACTTTTGGACGGTGCCGAAATCGCGGTCGAGTCCACCGAAAAGGACCTCGGGGTCTTTGTGGATTATAGGCTCAAGTTGCACGTGCAGATTGCGGAGACGATCCCGAAGGCCAACCAGATGCTGGCAGCCGTGAGGCGGTCTTTTGCCAACATCGATGTTCATATGTTGCCACTTTAATATCTTAATATGCCCGTATTTGGAGTATGGCAACGTCATCTGGGGCCCGTTCGGCAAAGTGTTCGAGAAGCGGCTGGAGCAGGTTCAGCGACGAGCGACCCGTCTTGTGTATGAAGTAACACGCGGACCATACCCTGAGAGATTTAGACTCCTTCAATTGTCCTCGCTGTACTACCGTGGTGGCAGTGGAGACATGGTTACAGCATATCAACTGCTTCACGGAGGTATATCACTATCTGAGGAGGTCTTGACAAGACACAGCTTGGAGGTGAAAAGAGGACACTAATGGAAGCCGAGAAAACCTCGAGCTAGGACTCACGTCCACCGTAATTCGTTCAGCACGCGCGGTGCCAACGGTTTGAACACTCTTCCACATCCGGTAGTGTCGTCAGCCTCAGCTAAGCAGTTCAAGTCTAGGCTTGGCATGTACTGGGCAGACATCATGAATGACATCTGAAACTTAATCTAGCCATGGTTTGAGACTGTTCGGTTACTGGGCCGGGAGCCTGACGAGACCGGGACTGACAGGCCCAGTGGCCTTTTTTGATTCCCAATCGCCATCATTAACCTGCTTGCTCCATGCTGCATAAGGCATTTATGGACTTGGTGATCATTTGGAATTTGATCGATGTAATTGTCATGTTGATCTATTATATAGGTTATAAAAGATGCGGTATCTATGTTGATAAGCCAGATATCATTTGCTGATCTTGAATGCCTTCTTTTTTGCTGTTTTTATGTCACTATCATCAATGCAGTTATGGTTTCTTTCGATGATTTTGTCAATTAACCATTGTATTGATTTCAGCCAATCATGTCTCGACTGAAGCTGTATTATGACTTAATGTCACAGCCATCCAGAGCAGTAGTGATGTTCTGTAAGCTTGCCAACATACCATATCAAGATCACCCTGTCGCTTTGCGTAAAGGTGAGACTTAACTTTTTAACATGTCAACGTTTGTCTTTACCAAATGTATGGTTCCCTGTTGTAAAATTTCGTGGATGATAAGCTGTGTTCTGTCATATGCTACATATATCAGCCTGGTGGTAGTTTGTTCCCACCAATAATTCAAGGATGTCCACTGACTGGTACTCACATAATTTACATTCATTCAGCTTCTTTTGAAAATATTTTGCAAACCTTAATTAAAACGAAGCTTGGATGCACATTGGCAGCTGATGCGTTCTGAAATGCACACCAGACTAGGAATGTGCCGGAAGAAAACACAAGTGTAGTCGCAAGGAACAATGATATACTATTTCACAGGGGGACACTGCATGCTAATACATCTTTAATATACCTGTTGCAGGCGAGCACCGCAGTGACAAATACTTGGCAGAGGTAAATCCGTTCGGACTAGTCCCGGCCATCAATAAAGATGGCTTCAGGCTCACTGAAAGGTGAGTGTTCACCTGTTGACAACCTCTCCACATGTTCCATTTCGGGTCCACCCGTCCTACCATGAAGTTGTTTCCGCACACGTGCCCTTTGCAATGGTCGCTGTTCCTTGACATGACTTTGCGTGCCATCATGGTGCAGTCTGTCTTTCCGAAACCGATGAAGGTGCTGTCTCTTTCCGACACCGATAAACGTGCTGTCTCTCTTTCCGACACCGATAAAGGTGCTGTATCTCTTTCCGACACTAACTAAGGTGCTGTCTCCTTCCGACACTGACAAAGGTGTTGTCTCTCTTTCCGACATCGACCAACGTGTTGGTGTTGCCTCCATTTCCGACACCGACTAAAGTCGGCTGATATCCTTTGTGGTGAGAAGTCCCGTTTAAACGCTTCTGGTCTCGGGACTTTGCAGTGATGGCATGTGTTGCAGGTTAGACTGGTGAAGATAAAAATGGATTTAGGTGAATGGTAAAAACAAAAGCAGCCAACGGCCATCTCTGTTTGGTTTTGAGTAACCCAAAAATTTTGATGCAAATTTTAAAGAATATGGAACCAAAACAAACAGAGATGGCCGTTGGCTGCTTTTTAATGATCTAATTAATTATATCGTTGCCAAAATCAGTTGCTTAGGCCGTAATGTGTTAAAAAGCAAAGCTGTCTCGGACGCGCTTTCAGCACGCCTCCCTGACCAATTACGTCGTTCAAATAAGTCATTTTTTACATCCAGTTTAATTTCAGATAGTTTCAAATGTCTGTCAGGGGCCCGTTTCACTACGTAATTACTGTCCCGCCGGCAGATGGAACAATGTTTCAGTCAAATTATGACTACAATACCACTATATTCCACCACTGGTCAGTAGCCCAGGCAGGGGGGCACAGGGGGCTTGTGCCCTCCCCCCCCCCCTGTAGGTTTCGAGGGGCCCTTCGGGCTCTTCGGTACCCACGATTTAGCGCCCGATTTAAGGGTCAAAAAGGGTCAGTGTTCGATGAAGCCCGAAGAGGGGCTCGGGCGGCCCAGCAAAACCGACGACGAAAGGCTCGGTTGGAGGGCACAAAGGTCTGAAGGGTTGGATGTAGGTCACAAAAAGAACCGTGGCCCGTTTGGTCGTGACCTTAAATATCAGTCAGAGGTCCTCTTGCATCGTTTGAGGACCGCCTGAAACACTCCGCGGGTCTCGGTCCGCCAGAAACCACTAACACCAAACAGTTGGCTCCCTGTCGGTGTGAACCCCGGGGGTCCAGTTCCCAAGCAGCGGCAAGGCCGTGGGCCACGACTTGCATTGGTCTAGGTCCCTGAAACAATGTTTGGGGCCCCTGCGTCGGTCAGGGTATCACAGTGCCTAACAGGAGGTGATGTGTCAAGTCACAGGTTTTGTTTGAGGATGCTGAACAGGGGACGAAGGGCCCCTGCGATAAAAAAATTAGGGGCCCGGTTGGAAGACTGGAGGGTCGGAAGGACTGGCTGTAGGTCACATTTAATGCCCCTGTCCGTAGGGCCGCGATCTCAGATTTCAGTTAGAGGGTCTCATGTACCGATCTTGGACCCCTGAGACCCTGAGTTCCTCGGTTTCGGCCAGAAGTCACCCGCACCGAACAGTCGGCTCCGTGTCGATCTGAGCTCTTGGGGACCAGTTTCCAAACAGGGACACGGTCGGGCCCGCGATTTGCAGTGGTCGGGGTTCGGGCAACAATGCGGGGCTCCTGTATCGGTCAGGGGCCCAGTGCCTAGCAAGGTGTGCTGTGCCAACAAGGGGTCTCAAGTCGTTCGGGGGAACATTTGCTCAACAGGGACGGGACGCGACCCCTAATGACAAATGACCTCTTGTGTTGGTCGAGTAATGTGACAATGACAATGAAAGCAAACAGTATAACTTATAG